ATGGTTTCATGTGTGTGTATTTGCGTGTGTGTGCTGGTCGCTATTGGCAGGAGGGACGTCAGCATCTCTCTGTGGATCCCAATTTTATTATATGTGGAAATTTTACTGGACTTTTGAACCTGAGAGCCTGGGGACCTCAGATCTAGCTTCCAGCACTGTTGCACATCCCCCAATCACCACCCTGGTTTTATTAACTTGCACCTTTTATTCAACTCCTACTCAACCTCCAATACCCAACTCAAATATCCCACCCCCCCAATATCCTTTCCCCAGGCAGGAAAAGTTGCTTCCTCTGTGTCGCAGTCCCGTCTCGATCCCTCTGGTGGTTCCAGGCACCTTAGTGTCCTCTGTGGTCAGAGAGCCCCCCAGGCAGGGAGGATCCCCAGCATCTCTTTGTCCCCCCAGGCCTAGCCCTGTGTTTTGCCACGGACAACAGTCACCAGGTATCAGCAATGGCTTCTCTGGGGTGGGCAAGGGCTGAGAGAAGAACTAGAAGCCGACTCTGCAGCCCACATCTCAGCGTCTCACGTCCACTGTTGCCCCTGTGACATCGTCAAGTTCCCTCCTCTTTCACGTTGGCTTTTTTCTCCCTCCATAACCGCACGACGTCACACAGAGACGGCGTGCTGATGGCGTTTACTGCTCTGTGGCAACTCAGAGCCCATGGCCCGCAGCGGGTCCTCAACTGATGCTAGATGGGGGAGTTTGTGAACAAATGAACGGAACAAACAAGGAAACACTCGCTCTCCAGACTGTGTGGTGCAGACAGTGCCTTTCTCCTGCGGGAGGCCAGCCGCTGGGCGCGGGACACTGGGCTCCTCGCTCCCCAGTGACGTGGGCCTGCCTTCCGCTGCGTTCTGGGGGAGGGTGTCCTGCGAGGCAGGAGGATGAGACAGGAAAGATGAGTGATGGAAGGTGAGGAAGCAGAAATACCCGATGTCACTGAGAGGTCACCGTTGGAGTCGGAGGCACAGGCACGGACCCCGGCTCCAGTGTGTGACAAGCCCTGTGCCCCAGATTCAAGGTCAGGCAGGTGCTTATTTGAGCATCTCCTGCGTGCCAGGAACCAGTAAAGATGCCCGGGACCTGGCCATCAACACGACCGTTACGGTTCTTGTTGCCGTGGAGCCGTCGCGTGGTTCTCGTGGGAGACGCAGATGTCAGTCGATAAACGGTGAATCGCGGGGTACGTGCGCGAGTGACCAGCGCTGGGGTGGGGGGTTATGAGCGGAGGGATCCGCCCTGCTCCAGGCGTGGAAGTTAGCCCGTGAGGGCAGCTACCCTGTCTGTCCTGGGACGATTCTTATCTCATGGGTTTGTAGGACCTGTGGCTGGGGGAGGGTGTGGGGTCAGGAACAGGGACAGGTTCACTGACCGCCCTGAGCCTGAGAGGGGACCTGGGGACAGTTGGAGTTGTCTGAGAGGCTGGAGACTGCCCCGGGAGCGGCAGGCATCCGGTGTGGGCAGGGCAGAGCCGCCTGTCCCATCCGTCCCGTGGGGCCCTCAGAGGCCTCCAGCTCGAGGCTGCACGTGGTACCTCCTCACACAGATGTCAGGCGTGGGAAACACCTTCCGTCAATTAACTACTAATGCCTCGGAGGTGGCAGAGGTGCCGTGGAACTTGGCGCTGCCCTGTTACTCAGAGCATGGCAGGGACCTGCTAATGTGTTTGCACCTCCCAGAATCTCCCCAGCGTGAGAAGGTGGTTGCTCAGCCACCTCAGGGAGTGACACGGAGGGTCCTCCTCCCACCCTCCCCTCTCTGGACGCATGTGCACAGGTCACGCGCTCCTACACACGGACACCCCCGCCCACACGGCGCGCAGCCACACATGCACCGACACGCCCGGGCACATAGGTCTGCACCTGCCCACCCTTGGGTGCCCCCCATGTACATAACACCCACCAGGGTGTGAGGGCTGAGGGTGACCATGCCCAGCCCTTGCTCACTCAGCCCTGAGCACGCCCGCTGCAGTCATGCGCTCTGTCCTCTGTCCTCGGGGGGCTTGTGAGCGATTCCTACACTGGGCCATGAGACATCTATTTTGAAGTCTATTCGTGGGTGGGGAGCACAGCCCTGATGAGCCCTCACCTGGCCTGGCCCTGGGCGCGAACACCTCAGGGAGGGAAGAGGGGGACACTTCCTCCCGTGGCGGGTGCTGAGTGGTGCAGCGCGTCTCCCTGGATGTGGGGCCTTTGCTCCCCGGATGACACCAGGGCCCTTGAGGAGCCGCTCAAGGCATCTGCCCTGGTGACGCATTGGATATTTGGTAAATGAGCAAATCAGACCTTTTGAGCTAAACACCCTCCAGCAGTTTCTGCTGAGTCTTCTGTCAAGTTCAAGCCCCTGCAGCGACCGCCCCCCCAGCATATCCACCCCCCACCCCGAGTTTCCAGCCTCCCTGGGAAAGCCCCTTCCTGGCCACAGCCCTGTCCTGGGCCGGCTCCTGCTCACCTCCAGGCTTCTGTTCCAACAGCCCTGCCGGAGCTTCCTTCCTGGGCCCTCCCTGTTCCTGTGGGGCGGCACCCACCCTCACGGCTGGCCGGAGCGGGCCCTGGGTTTCGTGGTCCCACCCTTCCTCGTGGCTGCGAGGTCCCCGTTCAGGATCCTTATTCAGGGTCACGTGGGGACAGGAGAGGTGTCTGCAGTGACGGGAGTGCTCCACGTCTCCTCTGCTCATCCCTGGAGATCTTCGTCTTCATCTTCCAACGGGCCCAGAGGCCTGGGCAACCCGGCGCATCCTTTCCCTGTTGTGCCAAGAAAGCTTCAGGACAGCCGCTTTCCCGGGCCGTGTGGACTAGCGGTTCTGCTCCCTACGGTGTCCGTAGGCGGAGGAAGGAAAGGCGGGATAAGAACATGGAAGAAATTGCCTCTGGGGACAGAAGGACCCATCTGCATCCCGTGCTCGTGGGGCACGGCCTTGGGGCGGTGCCGGCGGGGGGATCTGTGATCGATCAGTGCCCCAGGGCTGCCCTGGGCCCCACTGGGTGCCAGGAGCTGAGTGTTGGGATCACGTCCAAGACACAGTGGAGAATGTCATTGCCGTAGCTTCCGTGATGGTTGCCGAGCCCACGGGGAGGAGTCCTCGAACAGGACACCCCGTGCTCCTCTGAATAGAATGACATTCTGCACAGGGCTGCTTTGTGGACCGTCTGTGGACGCGGCGCCTGGTGCAGTCAGCGCTCGGTTACTGGGACAATGGCCACACCCCTGACTGGCCTGGGTTGGCCTGGCTGATGCCTCTTGTCCTGGTGTCGCATCGCGTTGTGTCCTGGTTTGGGTGATACATTTATACAGTCCCCTCGATGCAGCTCAGGAGCGTGAGCAGGGTCTCTGGAGTCCGATGCTCCGGTCCTGCCCCACCACCAGCAGTTCCCCGCTTTGCGACTGACGACCGGATGGCTGGTGCTCTGACCCTCGGTCTGCTCACCTGTGAAGCGGATGCAAAAGTAACGGTCTCTGCCTCATCGGTTTATTGTGAGAGTCAAGTACGCCGACGCTTCAGGACAGCGCCTGGCCGGCACACACGGCGACCGACTTTCACTCCATGATAATTGTCACACGGTGATGTGATGCAGTGCGTTACGGTGAAAAGGTTTGCCCAGAGTCACCCGCGCTGGCCCGGTGTGGGAATCAGAGTGAGGCGGTGCGGGTGCACGTGGGTCTCGGTGCGTGGTGGTCCAGCTCACGTGCCGGCAGCCGTGCTGGGGACATCACAGGTCTGCGACCTTCCACCCCGGAGGCATCGGGTGGTCAAATCTGAGAGCCCGAGTGCAACTCAGGTCTGTGTCGCTGCCAGGAGAATTGTCCCTTCCCTGTCTCAGGAGGGGTTTGGGGCACTGGCCATGTATCTTTGGTCCTGACACAGGGATGATCCGAACTCTGGTCTGCGCGGTGACCGTGGGAGGGGGTCAGGTGTGCGTAGAGGTGACACCAGTCTACGTCTGTGCTTCTCCAATGTCACTGCTTTGTTTTCCGTTCTAACTACTCTTCTTTCTTACAAAATAACTCACGCCATAGGCTGCAAAACAGCCTGCGGTGGAGTACACGTGCTCGCCTCGCGGCCCTGACCGCCAGTGTCCCCCATAGACATGTTCTCAGCACACCCCGGCATGTGCCCGGACACGGCCCCTTCACACTCCAGTGGCGTGCGCTGTGTGGTTTTTTTGTTTTTGCTTTTTTTTTTTTGACCTGGCAGTTGACCCCAGATCGGTTTCCTGTCTGAACACGCAGGTCTGTTTTACTTTCCCACATCGCACGCGGGTTGCTGAGAGGGCAGACAGTTGCCTGACGGGTGTGCAGGTTGCTGCTGTCTCTTACGCTGCCATAAGCTCCCGGGACGTCCATCTCCTGCGTCCCAGAGTCTGCACACGGCCTGGCTTCATGGACAAGCTGCTTCCCTTTGTGTGTTCACAGACTCGCTTGTTCTGCAGCTGTCCACGGAGGGGTCCCCACAGGCCCGCCCTGTGCTGGGGTCCTGGGCTCTTCCCCTGGAGGGCTGCCAGCCTGGCAGGAGGGAAGGGACACAGGGTCTTTGCAGCTTCCTGGTGCCCGCATATGACAAGGGACTGAGCCTGTGTGGCACAGGAGGAAGGTGGTGACTTCCCCGAGGAAGTGATACTTAGCTGAGGAGCTGAGGGTTACGAGGCAAAGGGGCAGCTGGAAGGGAAATGAGCATGGGTGAGGTCAAAGCATAAGCAAAGGTCCTGGGGTAGAGAATGCTTCATCACGGAATTGGAGAAGACGTCAAGTTTCCATGGCAGAAGGTGGAGCTGGCCAGGGCTTCTAGTGGGCTACGGGAGGGGAGTGGAGCATGCGAACCCATGAACTAGTGCGTGCCCCCTACGGGCACACCCCAGCCAGAGCCCCCGAGGGTCTCGCTTTGGGGAATCACTGGTGACCCCTTGGGGTGAGGGGAGTCACCTCAGCTTCCCCAGGAGTCTCGTACGTTTGGTGGTCACGTGATGACGTTGGTGTTGGTCTTGGCTTTGGTCTTCCAGATGAGATGGACCAAACTCCCCCAGTGCGCTCCGAGTATCTGGTCTCAGGGATTCGAACCCCCCCTGTGAGGAGGAACAGCAAACTGGCCACCTTGGGCAGGATCTTCAAACCCTGGAAATGGAGGAAAAAGAAAAACGAGAAGCTGAAGCAGACGACGTCAGGTAAGCCTGGCTCCGCCCAGGATTAGCGTCTTTGTCGCGGTGCTGTTGCCTCTGCTGGTCCGTGTCTGCCCAGCCCTGCACAGCAGGGCAGACTGTGCTCTGTGGCCTTGAGAACCAGGATCTACGCAACCTCCCTCTGGTCACTGGGGACCCCTTGGGGTGAGGGGAGTCACCTCAGCTTCCCCAGGAGTCTTGTACGTTTGTTGGTCACATGATGACCTTGGCTTTGGTCTTGGCTTTGGTCTTCCAGATGAGACGAACCAAAGTCCCCTGGCCCCTGCAGGTCCCACCTGCCTGTCCCAGGCCTGGGTGAGCACCTGGCACCCCACGTGGGACCCTGGGCCCAGACCCCAAGGTGCCCAGTCACCTGGACCTTGTTAAAGCACAGACCCCCATTCAGGGCAGGGCTGGGCTGAGGCCAAGACGCTGGCTTTGGAGCAGGTTTTCACTCGCCGACCACACTGAGTAGCGAGCACCCAGCCCACGGAAACCCCTGCCGTGGCCTCGCTCTCCCGCCGTGGCCTCACTCTCCCACGCCGGAGGTCTCCCTCTGAGCACGCTGGGGCCCAGGTCCCACCCCACAGCTTCTAGTTTCGTGAACTGTGTTGGGGCACAGGTCTTGCCCCAGCAGGCACTGACAGTGGAATTGTTTATTCATGAGTGTTTACTGAACACCTACTACGTGCCAAGTTCTGGGCTAGGTGCTGGGAGTCACCAGGGAACACAACTAGTTCAGCCCCCACCTTCCTGGGATGCAGCGGGGAGCAGGCAGCGAGGACAAGGTAGTCAATCGATGGAAACTAATCACACACCTATTGAGCACCTACTGCGTGCCAGGCACTGTGTCAGGCACAGCGGATACAGCGGTGAGCAGGACAGGCACAGCCTCTGCCCGAGCCCAGTGCGTCTGAGGGGGACGATGACACGCTCCACAACGGGTGAGTGGGGTGAATGGGAACCAGAGGGCACCAGGCAGGGCTCGTCTGCGGAACCAGCCCGCCCTGGACCACTCGGTTCCTGAGTGCCCCGGGGGATTCAGAAGGTCACGACCCTCAGCGTGGCCTTGACACCTTAGGCCTCTCCTCACTGGGAGGCAGAGCCAGCCTGCTCCCTGCCCCACGCTCTACCTGGGCACGCCTGTCCCTGCGCCCTCCCCGCCCAACGCCCAGAAGCTTCCCCCGCTCACCGCCGCTGTGTCCTCACGCCCCGCCAATCCCAGCTCTGCGGGAAGTGGGGTCGCCATAGGTGGCACCCTTGTCCCTGCCTCCTGAATCCACCCCGGGGACTGTGGCCACAAGACTGAACCACAGATGGGGGACACACATAGTGATGACAAGGACGCGAGTGGCCACATGGGCGGATGGCAGCAGGGCGCGTCCCGCCATCGGGCACAGATGCACCAGCCTCACCCTCAGAGCCGCCCTGCTAGGCCGGTGCTTTTGCTTCATCCTGCATGTCTTAGGGGTGGGAAACAGGCTCAGAGACGGGAAGTCACCCACATGGGGTCACACAGCCGGCAGGGGTGAGGCTGGGGCTTGGTCTGGCCCCACACCTGGGCTCTGCGGGTGGCAGTGTCCTGAGAAGCAAACCCTGGAGGAAGCAGCATCTCAACCCCAGGGCCCTGCCCTGAGCCGCACACCTATTAGCTGTGGCTGAAAACAATTAGTGAGGAGCTGAATTAGCCCCGGGCCTGGGGGACCAGCCCTGGTAAGTGCCTGTCTCAGGCTGTTGCCTCTGGGGGTCCCCAGGGTCCCTGTTCTCATCCCAGCTCCGAAGAGGCGCAGACTCCAGGGCTCCAGGGACGGCAGAGACAAAGCCTGCGCCGTGCCGCACACGGGCGTGGCACGGGGAGAGGGATTCCCGCCACTGCGGGTCCCCCACTCACGCTTCTTTGCAAGCTTTACAAAATTTTTTTTTAACCACTCAAGAAAGTGATTGACAAGTTCTCCTTGTCAAAGCAAAAACAGAACAAGCATCATTATTCAGCAAATCTCGAGCACCTCCTGTGTGCCGGGCACCAAATGCGCAGGAGGGAGCAGGCCCTGCCCACCCAGAGCTTTCCGCAGAGCGGGAGTCGAGTGGCAAAGTGAGCAGGTGACCCGGCACGGGAGTCGGCGACAGACTCCAGCGGGGCCGCAGAGGATCTGAGCGGGCCCTGGGGAGGAGGCAGGCAGGGGTGGGCGTTGCCCTGGGTGGGCGGTCTGGGAAGACCCAGGTGAGGAGGCCGCGTGGAGCTGACATGTCATGGGCCCCTTGAGAAAGGCGGGGAAAAGCACCACAGCACTGGGAACAGCCCTTGCAAAGGCGCAGCTGTGCATCAGCGAAAGGCCCAGGGGCTGGGGCAGGGTGACCTCTGCGACCTTGGGTGGGCCCCTGGCACCCTCCAGCCTCAGCATCCCCAGCTGTGGGATTGGAAGGTCAAGCTTTGTGCTCTGAGGACTCTGGGCCCCTCACTCCCGTGCTCCCCTCGGTGCTGTGCTGTGCAAGGTCTCCGGGATGTTTTGGGGACCCTGCAAGGCCCACCGAGGGGCTCGAGGCTAACACCTGCACCGTCCCCTCCTTCAGGTCCCTCAGGCCTTTGGAAATCTGGGGAACAGCACCGTGTGTCGTTGCTTGTTCCAAACCACTCCTTCCCCTGCAAGTGTGGGTGTCACTCATTTCAGCGTTTCAAATCCCTGTTTCACAGGCCCAGACAGAGTGAGAACAGAGACGGTTTGAAGAGAGATGTGGAGTGAACAGTGGGTCGGGCAGGGGTGGGGTGGGGCCCAAGCCGAGGACAGCTCTCGACGGCTGCGGATGGGAAGGGCCGTCTTCGTACCTGCCCCGGCGGGGTGGATGGGTCTCGGCACTGCCCATCGGGGACCCTCACCCAAGAGGGGGACAGTAGACCCTCGCAGCTGCCTCTCTGGGTCACAGGAGGACCTGGGGACAGTGCAGCCGGAGTCCTGCGCCCATCCAGCCCCAGCTCCCCGGTGCACTTTCCTCCTCAGAGCTGCGCCCTGTTCCTACATCATTTCGTGAGCTGGGACCACAGCCTCTTTGCTTACACCTCCCGAGGCAGCGTTCAGTTTGTCAGTTGTATCCACAGTTCTGGCATCTGAAAATTGGTTTGGAAATTGGGACGACAGAGAGGAAATTACACTCTCTTTGCCCAAAAATGCCTACTCCCTGCTGCGTTTCGGTTTTCCCGTTCATCCTTCAGCGCTAGCGTGGATGCCTCAGGGAAGCCGCCCGGAGTCCAGGGCGGGCTGGTTCCACGACGACACCCTGCCCAGCACCCTCTGGTCCCCATTCATCCCACTCGCGGGTTGTAGAGCTTGTCCTCATCCTGCCCGGGCATGCTAGCCTCAGGCAGAGGCTGTGCCTGTCCTGCTCGCCGCTGAACCGCTGTGCCTGACACAGTGCCTGGTACACAGCAGGTCCTCAATAAATATGTGATTAGTTTCCATGGATGGAATACCTTGTTGTCACTGCCTGCTCCCCTGCTGAAGCACACATGCCATGAAGGTGGAGGCTGAACTGGATGTGCTCCCCAGAGACTCCCAGCACCTAGCCCAGTCTTAGGCATGTAGTAGGTGCTCAGCGAACACTTGTGAATACATGAAAGAATTCTGTCGTCACTGCCTGTCTGTCATCTGCCTCTTCTGGACAGTGAGCTCTGACGGGTGGCCCGGTGCTGTGACCTGGCACCGGGTGGAGTAGTTGCACATGCGGAGAACCGACGGGCCCTTTGTGACCAGGCCTGGCTGCAGGCGCTTTGTCTTCAACTTTCAAAGAAAGAGTCCAAGCTTATATTTAGAAATTGGAGCTCACCTCTAGGCCGCTAGTTTTCCGGGCAGTTGGAGAAAAGGAGGTGACCGTGAGGCTGAGGCCTGCACACGGGGGCGGGGAAAGCAGGAGGGCATGGGGCTGAGTGGCCGGAGTGCTTTGCTCCGGGACGGGGAGGTAGGAAGGGCTATTCAGGAGGAGGAATTGACGAGATCTGGCAAACTGGGTGGGCGGAAGGGGCGCCAGGAGCTGGCCTCCTCCCTCCCCGTCCATCTGGTGGATTCTTTGAAATCTGTTAACCGGTGGTTTATTGGAAGAACCTCCAGTGGGAGAGTCGAGCAGAAGACTCTGGTCTGTGCATAGACGTGAGCAGCGGTCAGGACGCATTTAGCAAAGGCTCGCACGGACCGCAGAAAAGCACCCGAGGGTGTTAGGGCAGAGAGAGGCCGTGCTCCTTGGCCAGTAAGTGAAGAAGCATTTGGAGGAGGGCAGCCAGGGGCGGGGGCGGCAGCTTACAGAAGGGCCTTATATGTGGAGGTGCTTTTCAGAGAAACCGCGGGAATTACCGCTGTGGGCAGCCCACGGCTGCTGCTCGCCGGCTGTGCTTCCTGCGCCTCGCTCGGCAGACTGCTCAGACTGCTCAGCCAGAGAGCGGGAGCTGCCGAGCAAGTCTGCCCTCCCGCCCCCGGGGCACCAGCCCTCACCCCGACGCACCTGCTCACTCACTTGTTCGTTCTGTCAACCTGCGACCGGCACCGGCTGTGGCTGGGCAGGGCCTCACGGGGATGTCTGTGTCGTGCAGCGCTGGAGAAGAAGATGGCGGGCAGGCAAGGCCGCGAGGAGCTCATCAAGAAGGGGCTGCTGGAGATGATGGAGCAAGGTGAGTGGGCCGCCGGCGCGCGCGGAGCCGCGAAGCCATCAGGGATGGGCAGTCAAAGGAGTCTGCTGTCCAGGTGTGGGGCTGGACCTGAATGAAGCCTGCAAGGCTGGGGAGGTGCCCCCAGAGTCAGGAGCCATCTGCTCAGCACCCACGGGCATCCTCCCATGGGCCGCAGGGCTCCTCCCTCTGTTGCCTGGCAGAGACAGGTGTGGGTGAAGCTCCTGGTTCATCTCTAAAGTCACAGCCATGGTTTTTGTTTTTGTCAGTCTGTGCCATGCTGGGGCTGTGCTGGCTGTTCCGCTCCGCACACCCTCTCTGGTCTTCACAGCATCCCTGTGGATGGGGTACGGTTGTTACTCCCAGTTTACAGATGAGGAGTCTGAGGGGTCCAGGTGGTGCCTGCCCAGGTCATTGCAGCATGAAGCAGAGACGTAGAATAAATCCTGGTCTCGGTCTCGCAGTCGTCTTTGGTCTGGGGAGTTTGATCTCGGTGTTGTCTACGTGATCATCCTTGTCTGCGTCTTTCAGAAAGGCCGGTTACTGTGGCTTGTGCAATTAACTGAGCCAGTCCTTCTCCTCGGTGGATTCCTGCAGGTGCGACGCACAGGACTTGGGTCACGGTGCTAACTAGTCCTGGGTGCTTTCTAGTCTTTGAGACTCTAAATCTCACTGCCGCTTGGTCTCTCTGGAGCCGGACTGAGCTCTGGTCCCCTGATCGAAGGAATCCAGCCGTGCAGAGCCAATTCCCGAGGCTTGCGTGAACATATCGAGTGCCTGTCTCCCGCTTTCAGCCTCAAAATACTACCGGTGTCTTTGAGATTTGGCCCAAGCACCGGGAATGAGGAAGGAAGCTCACGAGTCCAGATTCTATGCCGCCAGTTGTGGACTGACACCTTTGTTACCGTTTCCTTTCTCTGGGTTCAAAGGGTATTTTGATGATGCTATTTTCAAGGGGAAAGCTACGTGGGAAGTTGCTTAATACTTATGATAAAATCTTACATCTATAAGGAAAGCCCGGTCCCAACAGCCGCGGCATTCGGATGTTTACCGCGCTATGCTGACGCTCAGGTGTGACGGGATGTCGTCACTGAGATGGACATCTGTGCTATTTTTACGTGGATGGGATAGAAACGTGCCAAACTCTGGCATTTTGAACACGGTGCCAACAAGAATTACCTTGGATCTTAGGGAAGGAGAAGGGAAAAATAAAAACAAGGCTAAGTCCTGTTTATCGTCTATGCTAAAAGATGTTATTTTTGGTGAATAAAGAGTAAGTAAAGATATTGATCAGATCCCTATCAAAAACCAAGTTATAGTTTAAATAATTAAAGAGGAAAACTTCTAGAAGTACCGGTTGGCTATTTTTAACTCTGGATTTTTGTTAAGATGATCTTGTCTGAAGACGTCAGATCAGAGACCCCGAGACGAGCGTTCGGCCGGCCCAGGCTGACCAGGTGAACTCGGCCTTGCCGCGGTCGGTTGGAGCTCGCTCTCTGGCCTCCGCGTCTGGCGGCACATCACAGAGCAGTACAGCTCTGCCTTAGCTCAGGGCCGCAAGCGTCTTCCGGACAGGGTCAGACAGTGAATATTTCAGGCTTTGGGGCCGCACGGTTTCTGTAGCAAGCACTCACCTCTGCTGTTGCAGGGCGAAAGCAGCAACAGGCGATACCTAGATGAGTGGGCGGGATTGTGTCCCAGTAAAACATTGTGGATGCTGAAACTTGAATTTTGTATAATTTTCATGTGTCATGAACTATTATTTTTCTTTTGGTTTTATTTCTTTTTTTTTGGTCAATCATCTAAAGATGTAAAATCCATTCTTAGCCTGGTGCTGTATAAAGCAGGCATGGGGCTGGGTCGGCCCCCAGACTGTGGTTCGCCAGTCTCTGCCTTATGTCTCTCTGTCTCTTGCCAAGTGATTGTGGACGAGGAGCTAGAGTGGCCTGAACCACAGTCTCTTTCCCTGGGAGCTGAAGTGCACTCAGTAATCAATGCTACAAAGTTTTATTGAGTGCCTACTAGGCCCAGGGTCTATGCTAGCTGCTGAGGACACAGGTGAGCAAAACACTCTTCTTCCAGCACAAACAGTGCAGTGGGGCGCAGACATGAGATAATCCCACAGATAAATGTCAAATCATAGCGGGATGAGTGTGGGAAGGAAGGCACATGGTACACTAAGAGCATGACATGGGACCTGACCTGGTCAGGGGCGGGGAGAGGTGTGAGTGGGGTCCCGGGGTGGGCAGGAGGGGCAGGAGGAGCAACACTAGGATCACCTGGGAGCTTCAAAGCCCTGATGCTCGGCAGCTGTTCAATGAGACGCTCTGGGGGAGGGACCGGGCGTCAGCGTTTTACAAACTCCCCAGCTGATGCCAACTTTGATGCAGCGAAGGTGGACAAGGTCGAGAAGCCAGAGGGGCAGGGACGCTGGGAGCAACTTCCAGCTGAGGGAGCAGCGACTGTGGGGTCCCACAGTGGACCCCGAGAAGGTGAGTGGGGAGGGACCCAAGAAGCAGGAGGGCCTGGGCCCAAGGACGCCGCCCATCTTCGCTGCCCCATGAGGTGGCTGGGGCGGCAGAGGCAGGTCCAGGCTGCTGTGGGAGCCCGAGGCCGCCCCAGGTGAGTGGCCGGGGGCCTGCTGTGAGACAGGTGTCTCTGGAGGGAAACCTCAGGACCAGGGCGGCAGGGTTTGCCTCTGGGAGGGGACTTGCTTGTCACCACGGACTCTCGCGCTGCTTAAACCCTGAGCTGTGTGCGTGACCTATAACGAGAGCACGGTAACAACATGACACACGCTTGACCACAGGCGCCTGGCAGCCCCTTCCTGTGCGCTTGCTTGGAAAATGCCTTTGCTTGGGGGCGGGGGATGGGGAAGCCCACTTCAGGTCCGACCCCGTCTGTGATTCCTCCTGGGGTCCCTCCAGCTCAAGGGAGGTCCAGGCCCAGAACGAGGGATGGATGCTCAGGTGGGGGGGGGCAGCGCCACCTCCTTTCCCGAGGCTGGGAGGACTCTGGGGTGGGGGCAGCGGCGTTTTCCCAGTTTGGGTGAGGAATCTGGCTCAGCCACCACCTGCCACCAGTGAGGTGGGGGCGCCCTCCTGTGGCCGCCTTCAGGGGGGACAGGCCCTGGGACCTCCAGAGGTGCCTGGGTCCTTAGCAGCCCCAAACTCACATTTGGGCCTCCTTGGCCAGGACGGCCACCGGGGGTGCCCTCTGCCCTGCACACGTGTGTGTGTTAGTCACCCTGGCGTTTGCCCCTGACATAGGCAGCCTGGCAGGGCATGACCTCCGGACAGCGCCTGCGCCACAGAGCCTGCTGGTGCCCCGGGAGATGAGGCTGTGTCCAGGGCACAGGCTTGTCCTCCCCCCAGGGTGCTATTTTATGACATATGTCGTTCACATCTGTGCTTTATGGAACACCGGCCCTCTTTCCTCTAACTCTGGTTGCCTGTCGGGACCCAGGGGGCCCTGGGGAGGGAGGTGACTCCACATCCTCTTCACTGCTCCGTCCACCCTCCTCAAGCCTCACGACCAAGGGGACAGAGTGAAGGGTCCCCCTCCCCTACCCCTCCCTGGTCCCCAGCCTGAGCGTGGTGAGGAAGAGAGGGGCCTGCACGTGTCTCTGTGCCGACGCCGTGTGTGTTCCTGAATGACTTTACTCCATCTCCCTGCACGAGTCCGCTTGGCGTTTTCTGAAATAATTTAAGGACCTTCGTACCCCATCAATGGGTATAGAAAGAGCTAGTGTCCTGGTGCTGTGTTCTGTGACCTGAGATTGACTGGGCTCGCTTTCCTCAAGGAATTTTCCTCAAGTCAAGCGTGTCTGGTTTCCACGTGGTGGGAATGCCGGGGGATGTGTGTATGAATGTGTGCACGCACACGCATGTGCACACGTGTTCCCACGTGTGCTTGCAGTGCACATGCGTGTGCTCTCACCGTATGTGTGTGTGTGCATGCGTATGCATGTCTGTGGCGCGTCTCCTCTCCCTGCAGCTGCTCAGTGCGGACTGCAGCCCTGAGTGGGGGAGAGGGATCTGACCGAGGGCCGGCGGGCGGCCACGCAGCGAGAGGAGCAGCAACAGCCCCACCGCTGCCCCCGCCCCCACCGGCGTTTCTTAGCAACACCCCGCCACAGCACTATTTTGGGAACTGCAACTTTTCACCGAACGTGATTACGAGCTGGAGCTCTGAGCACAGCCCAGGAAGGCCCCGCGAGGGCAGCCGAGCGCAGCGCGGGCGGCGCAGCTCTGGGACCGCAGGCGGGCGCGGAGCTGTCTCTGGATCTGGCTGGCGCCGGAGACCTCTGGGGCCTTCCAGGTTCAACGTTCTGACCACGCTACCCTTGTTGTTTTTATGATGACGATGAGGGGGACGTCATCGTCGTCGTGTTAACAGCAATGATGGTCATGGCGGCAGTCGCCCTGTGTGTTCTGAGATTTGGTGGCCGCGCTGTAAGCAGCGGGTGGCAGCCTCACCTAGCACGGGAGGTGAGACTCTGGCAGAGCTCACCTGGTGCTGGTGCTCACGTGCCCTCTGTGTCACCTGGGGCCAGGTAAGCTAGTGGTGGAGACTGTCACCATTGTGTGACAGGTGCAGTAAAGCAATCATAAGACAGGGGCTGGGAAACTTTAGTTTTGAGCTCTGTGACGTCTAGTTTTGGGGAGTTCTCTTGGCTCATGTCTGGGCCTGGTTAGTGGTTACAGCCAAGTATAGAATCCGGCCTAGGATCTGTTTCTGTGTGACCTTTGAACTAAGAATGCTTTTCAAACTTGAAGGCCTTTCATAAAAACTAAAAATCAGGGACGAATATGCAACACGGATGACGCCGCATGTGGCCCACAGTTTCTTAGATACGTCCCACCTGCTGCTTTGTGGGAAAAGGTCACCGGCCTGCCGGGCAGGTGACATGGCTGCACAGAGGAGATCTCCGTAGCCCCAGTCTCCAGACTTCTGGCAAGGCTGACCTTTGCCCTCTCCCCCCAGGAGACAGGCACGCAGTAGGGGGAACTCGGTCAGCAGTGACTGAAGCTCAAGCCCCTCGAGGGCGCGGGAAGGAGGTGGGCCTGGCTGGAGTGCGCATGTGGGTGGGTGCTTCGTGCCAGACACGTTCCGTACGTTAACTCAGTTAATTCTCACAGTAATGCCATGCAGCAAGTAGCAATATCATCCCCATTTTATAGATGAGGACATTAAGGCCCAGAGGAATTTGTCGTGTGGGCATAAGAAACCCTGTTTGCAGAGGGTGGGATACGTGGGCAGGGGACGATGTCCTGTTTGTCCGATCAGGACACTTTTGGCAGTGAGAGGGACACTGAAGGGCGTGGGACAATAGGTAGGAATCAGGACTGACCCAGGCAAGCAGGGGCCCTGACTCTGAAATAAATCTCTCCACGAGATTTATTTCTCTCCTCCTCTCTCCATGGGACGAGGTCAGAGCAGGCCAGTGTCCCCACACTGTGACCCCATGGCCATGTCGGCGTGTGCAGGTCATGCTGTCACTCTGCACCGTGGTGTCTGCCTCTGTGAAATGGCTGTGGGGACTGAGGGTGCCCTGAAGGGGCCATGTGGGTTCCCTGTGCATTGGGCTGTGACATGTGTCCAGCAGATGTGGCCATGACCAGCTGGCTGAGGGGCACCTGGATGGTTCTTTTGTTCCCCAACCACTGAGCCCCCCTCATTAAGGCACAGCCCTGGGGATGCCCAGGCAAGGGCCAGACCCTCGGAGGCTGCAGCGGCCCAGCCCCAGGAGAGGGGAAGAGCCAGGTCCTTCCTCGAGCCCTAACAGGAGCCTGGGTGTCACCCCTGCTGGGAAGGCTGCCTGTCTGGCCCTGGGGACTCCCTGCTCTGTGCCCCGTTCCTGGGCTCGAGATGTCGCATGGGGTCATCTGCATGGCCGCCTTAGAGTGTGAGCCACCCAAGGGCAAGGACCATGTCTTGGTAACCTCTGCCTTGCCAGGGACTGTCACAGTGCCACATGCATCCTGGTGGTGGATAGATGTTTGCTTAGTGGGTGACTGAAGGTCACATGGTGGGTTCAGAGGTCAACTGGATCTTTCCAGCCACAATATTGCCCCTAGGAAGCAGCCCCCACTCCAGGGGCACTGCGGTGACCGCTTGTTCTCACCCATCTGGGCTGACCGCCAGGGCGTGTCCTCGGGGCGTGGCCAAGGGACACAGGCAGGAGTGAGTTGTGCCGGCACTTTGGAAGCTGCTGCTGGGTCAAACCCGCTGATGGCCTTTGGCCAGAGAAAGCCACCGGAGTGGGGGCACTGCAGGGGCCCGTGGCAAGGATGTGAATGCGGGTGGGGGTGCCGTCAGTCTCCCCAGGTGTGGAGTGCGAGGGCCGGCAGAGAGGACGCTGCAGGAGCAGGAAGCGGGGGGTGTGCGTGAAGCCGGCTTGCCTGGGAGGGAGGTCAGGGTGTGGGGCGGGCCTCCCAGGGGTGTGGGGGCAGTGCGGGGGCACCCCCGGGGCCTGGGCAGGCACACTTCCCAGGGAGGCACTTGGTACAAACGAAAGGATTGGGGAAGGGAGGTGCAGGCCCGGCTGACAGCTGGATTTCCTTGCAGATGCCGAAAGTAGAACGTGCAACCCCGACGGGGGCCCCCGATCTGCGCAGAGCGAGCCCTCCACACCCAAGCAGGAGCCGCTGACTGCGGAGGATGCCCAGCCGGGAAGCCCCTTGGCCACGGGCACAGACCAGGCTTCCCTGGATGAGCCACTGTCCTCGGCCACCCGTTTGGACGACGCAGGTAGTGGCCCGAGACCGTGCGGGGTGGAGCTCCTCCCGGGATGGCTGTCCGGCTGGGGTGGCAGCCGGGGGGGGGGGTCCCCGACTAGGACGTGGGCAGTAGCCCTTGGGGAACATTGTCCTCAAGACAGCCGGTCCCCGCGCGGAACCCTGCTGTGCTCTGCCGCGGGGCTGGGCGTAAACATTCCCTGCAGCATTTTTCTCGACTTGTCTCTTCCGGAGTCTGACACAGCCAGTAAACGAAGGTGCTTAAAGATGTTCACCTTCCAGGCACACCTTCCTCCCGGGACGTCTTTGCCCTTTCATGGGTACCTTCTGGGCAGGAAAGTGCCCTCCAGAGGGTGCGTGTCCACTGGGGCCCTTTCAGCCGACCCCGAGACAATAGGATGGACGTGGGGTTTAGGGCCCTTCCCAGTGGCTGCCATCAGCTGGTGATGGTGACGAAGCCTCCGCGTGCTGTGAAGGCTCTTCCCGCTGCTCCTCTGCGGAGCTGCCGGGCCCTGAGTGCCGTTCCCTCCCTGCGAAATGGGAGAGCGAGCGACCTGTGTCGGGGGGTTGGCGGTGGGAAGAGCAGGGAACGGTTTCTGCTGCACGGAGTGGTGACTGGAGGTGGCCGTGGTGTTAGTGGAACAGACAGAGCACTTGCTGGGGCGCGGGAGCGGGGAAGGTGGAGGGAAGGGAAGCACGAACCCACCAGGGAGACCTGCGAGTGCTTTGAAAGATCCACCCATTAGAGCGATGTTACAGCCCTCTTCTGGGAGACCTCGCTATGGAGCTGGAATCCTGCAAGCTAAAATATGTTGTGCATAGTTTGGGGGCTGGGAGGTGAACTCCGAGTCTCTCCACGAGCGTGGGAGGTCTGAGACCCAGGCTGCGGGACAGGCCCGCTGGGCTGCTGCTTCGGAGCCGGGCGGGCATCTGTTCCCTGGCGCGTGTGGCCACGAGGGTGACACCTGCACTCTCCACCCGCCCAGGACATTCCTGCAGTGCCAACAGGCACCTGCCCAGAAGCATGCTCCGCCCTCCTCGGGGGGCTGTGTTTCTCCAGTGTCTCTTGGCTTGGGGACACAATAGGAATGTGGGGTCTGAAGAGTTGTAGCACCAGGAGGGTCCCAGCTCTCACGCAGAGACCCCCTGCATGCTCCTGTGTCCCCATGTCTCCCAGGCCTCTGACCCCGGTAGCAGTGACTGGAGTGATTCTGGTGGCTGGATGGGCCTGGCCTTCTTCCCGTGGTCCCTGTAGTCGAGCCCTTGCACGTGGTCCAAGCCTCCCACCTGCTGCAGCTGCTGCTCCCGGCCTCCTGCCGGGGTGGGTCATGCTCCTCCTTGGCAGGTGGTTTCTGTCAGCCCAGCGCTGAGGAACGTGCCGCTCCCATCAGCAGCCTCTTCTGACCTCGGGCTGCTCTCTCCCGATGCTTGGTGCCGGGGTGGAGTCCTGAGAGCAGAGCTGGTTTGCTAAGACATAAACTTGTGTTGAGGATCTCCTCTGGGCCGGACACGGTATGGGGGCCTGCGGGGTGAGCAGGAGTCTGCCAGGCAGAGTCGGGCAGAGCACCCCAGAAAGGGGAAGGACATGTGCGAAGACTGAGGACAGGGCCCCAGGCTTTTTCCATGCAGGGCTAGAGGGTAAACAGAGTCAGCTTTGTGGGCCAGAGGTACCTGGTGCAACTGCTCCACTCTGCCCTTGTCTCACGAAAGCCGCTCCAGGTGACATGGAAATAAAAGGGCGTGGCTTGTGCCAGTACAATTTTATTTGCAAAAACAGCTGGAGAGAGAGAGAGCTGGGCAGGCCCCCGAGGGCAGTGGGAGCCCCGGGGAATGGAGGGACAGGGGCTTGGCTTTGCAGGAGGAGGCTTTGCCGCGGAGACTGACCCCATCGTGTGTGGGTCCGGGGGGATTTGTCTCACTGCTTCCCCAGTGCAGGTCTCGTGCCCCTGGGCCACGTGAGATGACTTTGCGTGAGTGGCACGTGGACGGGTAATTAGAACACATTTTACTGATGATGTGTTTTTTATTAATTGGGGCAAGTGGTGTGGGTCTCTCATTCAGGGTCATGGTAGAGATTTTCTTATAAATCAGAATAAAAATGTGGGCTCGCTTAAAATGTAGCGAAGAAAAACGCGGAAAGTGAGAAGGAATGTCCCAAATCTCCCAGGCAGGGCCCAGAAGCCTGGTCTGAGAAAGTCCGCTCCATTCCTCAGGGATGCAGCAGCTTCTCGGCGGTCAGTGACATCTGTCATGACGCTGGTGGTAACAAGAGCGGACGTGGCTGGCCGCTTGCGAGCAGGGTGGCGCGGAGTGCTCTTCTAAGTGCTGCACACACGTGAGCGCGTTTATCCCTGGAAACAGCCCTGGGTCAGCACACCCGGGATGAGACAGAGGCACCCAGGTTGGCTGTGTCCAGGGCACAGTCAGGGAATAAAGGACAACGCCTTCAACATCAGCTGACTTGGGTCTGAGACGTGGCTGAGCTCCTTACCGAGCTGCGTGACCACGGGCAAGTGACTTAACCTCTCTGAGACTGTTTAATCAGCTACAAAATGAGGATAATAGGCTGACCTCTCAGGTTTGCTGAAATTAGGTGATCCGAGGAAACATTCGGCTCAGTCCTAACATACGCTGAGTCTGCGGAGTTTGCCATGCCGTCGTGTCATTATTACCGTCATCATCGTCAGACACGCCCCTTTGGGAGCGACGTGCTAATACACAGTATTTGCCTGCGGATGCTCCCTGAGAGTCATGCCTCTAGTAGCACGTGTGTTTTGGGGTGTGGGGCCACCTGCACTTTGCTGTTAAGCTGGGACAACCCCAGGTTCCGGTCCAGCCTGCAGGTCCGAGACCCTGCACCAGGAACGTTCGCCGCTGTGGCTCCGGGCCCACGCATACAGACAGGCCCGGAAGCAAACAAACCCCAACCAAGAACAAACAGAAAGTAAACAAACACACAGGCAATCAATGCATTAATAAATAAAAAACAAACGAATAAAAAAAAAAAGCAAACACAAAAAAAAAGACAGACAGCCACCTCCCAACAAACAAAGTTCAAGCCTCCTGGCGCTGTTCCCACCCAGCCCCTGCCGCCAGAGCTGAGCGGGAGTTGTCCCTGCAGGTGGGCCTGGCCTTTGGGGGTGTGAGTTTGCAGCCCCTTCCATGAGGTTAAGAGCCTGGTCTTTGGAGCCAGCCCTTGTGTTGCTACATTTTGATCTTCTACTTCGGGCCTTGTTAGCATGGGATGGAATAGTCATTATACGGCGAACAGCTGAAGCCTGGGGTCACTGTGAGGCTTTGAGGTCCTAGGTCTACAGCTTCTGCTGCAGAGCTCAGAGAAGACCAGCTGATTGATGCTGTTTTCTGTTCTCTTCCCCACCCACATGCTGCTGCTGCTCCCCACATCTGGGCCCAGTCCCTCTGTGTCGTAGATAATTTCATAACAGACAGATGTCATCTAACAGCAGGGCAAAGCAGGTTCTCCAGAGGCCAGTGTGTCTTGTGAGTGCTCTATCCTGGACCTGGCTGCTCTCCTTGGCCTGGGGCAAGGTCGTGGAAACCTCACAGGGGCTGGAACGTGACGCCCTGTGGGTGGTGATCTATACCTGGGGCAGCCCCCGGGGGCTCAGCAGTGGTGCTCACTGCCGTCCTGCGCGTCAGCTGCTGTCTCTTACAAAGCAAGCCTCCTATGCACTTTGCAGGGGTAGGAGAAGGGGTGATTAGAAAGCAAAACGGGTTGCCCTGCGTGGTCCCTGGTGTCCAGGTGCAGCCCTCCTTGGCCCAGCAGTAACATCCTGACTGCAGCTGCTGCGTCCACCTGCCCCAGACTGTTATGTGTGTGGGGGGGTCTGGAACATTCGAGTGTTGCAACTATCTCAGGAAGAGAACCATCAGTGACTTTGGCCATTACCTTCCTTGACCCTTTGATTTGGTGATTTGGGTTGACTTTGGGCTCTTGTGTTTAGGGCGATTTCGTTTTTCCTGGCTTCGTCTGGATGGGCTACACGAGCAACAGAGCATTCCTGCAAAGTCCAGACCAGTGTTTTAGCATTAATGGAGCGGGATCGTGTTTGGTGTTTTCGTTTGGGGGCAGGAGCTGAGCTTTGGCATTCCCGGGAGTGCACCGATTAAAAAGAAGAGTGACGTGGGGAGCATGTTCTATGTTCACTATATTATAACAGCCTCATCTTTTTAGACAAGAAAACAGAGACCCAGAGAGGTTAAGCAACTTTCCCAAAGATGCATAGTGTGTAAGTGGCGGAATTGGCATTTGATCTTAACTGCAACACTTTACAGCCTAAACTCTAGAGCCAAGCAGGAGATAAACCTTTGTTCTGTTTCCAGAATGTAGGTTGATTCTGAAGTCTGGAACAGGTTGGCACACTGCGGGCTACAGGTGAGATGCCACCCACTGTCTGTGGTGTGTGGCCATCATGCACTGCTTGAGGTGCTGGCACATGAGCCAGACCACCCTGAGGTGTCCCCTCCCTGCGCCCAGCTGATGCCACCTGCGCTTGTCAAGTGCTCAGGGTCCATGTGTGGCTGGTGGCTACACACATGGGCAGGGAGGAAACATTTCTGCATCTCAGAAAGCTCTACTGGGCAGCACTGAAGGTCAGAGGTGAGAGATGGCCACGTGTCCGCTGTGGTGCGAAACCAGGAGAGATTTTGTGGTTTGGATTGGCCAGCCCTTCCGGAGTTTTCCACACCAATAGAGAGTGTAATAGCAACAAACGACCACGTGGCCTGAGCAGAAAATACTTCCCGCCTGGCCCTCTTTAGAAAACGTTTGCAGACCCTAGTCTGGGCATGGGTTGGGGTGGGGCGGGAGCTGGGAGGGCCGGGAGGAGGTTGTGGCCTCTCACTCTGGGGGACGGTGGCTGAGAAATACTTTGGAGGAAGAGCTCACAGGACTTGCCCGTGAGCCAGCCTGGCCGGACAGCCCTGAGCCCAGGGAAGGCAGGGCACTGCCCGGCTCTGCGCCACATCCACAGCTCCTAGAAGGGCGCCTGGATCCCACGCCTATGCAGTGACACTCACGGGATGGATTGACAGCTGGACGATTGAGAGAGAAGAGGGGACTGGGGAGGTTTGTGGTGGGGACAGAGCTGTGATGCCTGTCTGGCCTCCAGACGGAGGTGTCAAGGTGGCCGACAACGTGTGCGCCTGGAGCTCAGAGGAACGGTCGGGTCCACAGAGAAACGGGATTGATTCCGAAGCCAGGGGACCAGATGGGATCGGCCACCCAGGGGGTTCGACGGGGAAGAGGACCCAGGCCTGAGTCCTGGGGCGGCCCAGGTGCAGGAGGCGGGGGGCCTACGGGCGAGGCCTACCTGGTGTCACCGCAGGGAACTGGGGGAGCACGGTGTGGGGAAGCCGAGCAGGACGGGGCTGGAGAGAGGGCGCAGGGCTGGGCGGGGCGGCTCAGGGAGGGTCGAGGCCTCACTCGGTGGGTTGAAGAGAAATCAGGCGGCGGGGAGTGGAGATGCCGCTCCAGAGACCTTTCCTGACCAGTTTGTTTTTCCGGTGAGCAGAGGATGGTGGCGCAGCTGGGGAACGCCCAGGTCAGGAGCGGCCGGTTTTCAGACAGTGCGTTTTCGATCTTGCTGGGATCTAGAAGAGGTGGAGAAATCGGTGACGGGGACGAGGGGCACAGCGTGTCAGCAGCTCACAGGGCCGTGGCGTGATCCCCCAGTCGGTGCCTCTCTGATGGAATCGCTCATGGATCCGACGCGGTCCAAGTGCGTCTGCTGCTGCCGGGCCAGGTGTGGGCACCTTGACTTCTCTCAGTGACGCCTCCAGCAAACCACGGAGCGTGTTTCAAATGCTGCCGCGTCCCGATGCCGCGGGCCCCGGAGATGAGTGGGGAGTGTGCGGGTAGCTCCGAGCAAACCTCCCCCAACCTGGTAGTGGACGGGGCCAGGTGTTTCATACAGACATTTGTGCAGATCAGGAAACCGAGGCTCAGAGAGGTGTCCACACAGGTCACTGGTTGGAAGTGAATCAGACACGCAGGGAAAGAGACAGACGGTGGAGACGGGCGTGGCTGAGGCGAGGAGAGCCATCCCGTGACGTCTCTCTCCCAGAACCGCAATTCAGGAGCACGCGGGGCGCCGGCAACCCTGCGAGCACGACCCACCCCTACAGGAGCAGTTGGGGACAAGAGGTCACGTACGGCCAGTCAGAGCGGGAGGCAGATGCTTGGATCACTCCACAGGCCTTCGGAGTAACAGGACATCCTGCGGATGCTCCGTCAGAACGAGTGTCGCGAACATCCGACTAGAGTCGGGGCAGCAGCGGGACCCTCGGGGGAGGAAACAGCCTGGCGGGGGGCTGAGAGCTCACCCCCCGTCCGGTGGTCCTGCCCTGAGCGTGGGCTCTGGAGCGCGGTGTCCCCAGGCTCAGGGCGTCCACTGCCCTGTGAGACCCGAAACCCCATAGAGCCACAGGATAGGGGCTGCACAGAGAAAACAGACGTGTCCGTGCTCACCTGTGCTTCACAAGGAACCTGCACGACCCTTTACCTAGAAAGCACAAAATGTTTATTTTAATATTATCGGGAGACTCATCAGAATTGTAGACTCTTAGACATCATAGGTCACAGTTTAGAGGATGTAATGATAGTCTCGGAGTCTAGGATTTTTTAAAAAAGAAGCCGTTAACAAATAACGTTTCTGAGGAGAGTTTACTAATAAGAAAATAAAAAACAGCATTTTCACGTGGGAGTCCTTGCAGGACACAAGCACACAGAGCCGACTGTGGCGGTGGTTCTCACCTCGGGCCACTTGAGATCTAGGCTAAGTGTGCCCTGGGCAGTGGGGCTGTGCTGGGTGGGGCCGTGCGGGGCGGGGCCGTGCTGGGTGGGGCATTTGCTTTCTGAGGTTTCGTTCATCTGCGGTGAGGAGGGCCAGCCCTTCTGACTACAGACTCCCCTCCTATGAACTTGGCACAAAGAAAGGGCCGGGCCTGAGAGTTTGGAACTTCCAGTGAGGGCAGTAAAGGAACAAAACTAATGGGATACGGGCTACGTGGACATGCAGTATTTGCATTTAGTGTTCCCTGGGAAGCTTGCTAAGGTGGGGGGTGGAGGGGTGCAAAGGAAGCCAGGCAGGGGGCTTGAGGGGTGTCAGTGAGATTGTTGGTGAATGACAGAGGCTGGAACCTGAGCCGGGCAGGGAGAAGGGAGAGGGTTGGTGGGTGGGGGTGGAGGAGGCTGGACAGTTGGCTGCAGAGAGGGAGGATGAGGGCTCCTGCACCTGCCCTTCCTCTGAGTCCATCCCCCCTGCCCCTCGTCTGGGCTGGCCTGCCCAGGGTGGGGCTGCTGAAAACTGGATGCGTCAGAGTGAGCGCCGCCGGACGTCGGGGCGGCTGTGTGCCAGGAGCCCCCCTCACTGCCTCTCCTCGCGTAAACCTCGCGATGACGCTGCGAAGGGCGGTGGCTAACATGATGTCGTACGTGAGTAAACGGAGGCCCAGGGAGATTCAGCAACTTGAACAAGGTCCCAGAGTAAGTGCAGAGGTGACTTGAGCTTGGGTGTGTCTGACTCCAAAATCTGGCGTGGTGACCACTGCTCCCAGGTGGGGCAAGAGCCTGGGGACACACCTGTCATGTGGAAAGGAACAGAGCCACTCTTGTGCTGGAAATGACTCTCCCGCCCCTGCCCTACGCCCGAGGGCTCTCGCGATAGCCGAACTTGCAAGAAGTCGAGTCCACATGGGGGGCGCCTGCTCCTTACTCTGTGCCCAGGTCAGGGCCCACCCCGCCATTGCCCCTCTTGCTTTGCTCACTCACACCCACCGCGATCAGAGGGAACGTGTTTTGTGAACACTCTGCTTTGCCTTTGCAACAGCCAAGATGCCATCTGCGTCCAGTGGTGAAGAAGCAGATGTCGGCAGCCTTCTGCCCGCCGCCGACGAGCTCTCCCAAGCCTTAGCGGGGTCTGACTCCCTGGACAGTCCTCTCAGACCTCTGGAGAGATCCGCGGGCCAGCTGCCCAGCCCCCCACTGCTGCCCACCCCGCCGCCCAAGGCCGGCGCCAAAACCGCAAAGAATGTCACAGGTGGGTCCCCATGTATCCCATCCATCCTCTTCCCTTTCTCTCTCCGTCCATCCATCCATTTACGCATTCACTCATCTATCCATCCATCCATCTGTCCTCTTCCCTTTCTCCATCCGTCCATCTATCCATCAATTTATCCATTCACTCATCTATCCATCTGTCCATCCATCCATCCATCTATCTTCTTCCCTTTCTCCATCCGTCCGTCCGTCCATCCATCCATCCATCTGTGCCTTCAGCTGCTCGCTTGGACACCTCCACCCTTTGCTTCTGTGACCGAGGCTCCAGACAGGCCCAGGCAATAGTTCTCAGCAAGGTGCTTGGTTGTCAGGAGCAGACTGCTCAGCCTGCCTCAGGCAAGCAGGGTGGTCTCTCTGCAGGAGTCACAGGGTGTGTCTTCCAGAGCCGGAACACAAGGGGCACAGCCAGCCCCAGGATGGGGCCTTTCTCTCCGTCTGTCTGGATGTTCACGTTATCTATCTGTCCTCTTTCTGCTTTTCTCTGAGTCAGTCTCCTGCCCCTGCGCTCACCCACCCTCCCTCCCTCTGCTGGTCTCTCCTGCTGATTTGCTTTGCAGCCAGCTCCGTCCAGCCGGGCAGAGCCAGGAGTAAGCAGCAGCCTTCAGGGTGGGGGCCAAGTGGGGGAGCACCGCTGAACAGAGACCCCCAGAGTCACGTGCTTCTGTAGTTTGGTCTCACAGGCTGAGTGATCCCAGGAAGAAGAGCGATTTCATTTTCAAGCTTGGGCGTTTCTTGTCCTGCTACTGCTGGAAATGTTCTTCCTCCTTGCGCCATGCGGCAACTTGGAACCTCAGCTCAAGCCGTTCCTCCTTCAGGGAGCCTGCCCTGCCCTCCAGCCTCACGGCGCCATGCGCCTCCTCTTCCCGGCTTCCACCATGTCCTTTCTCCTCGTGCAGTGGGCTGAATTAGTGTCCCCCCAGATTCGTGGCTACCTGGAACCGCAGAATGTGACCTTATCTGGAATAAGGGTCTTTTTAGATTTCACTGAGTTAAAGATGGAGATGAGCTCACGCCGGGTTAGAGGGGGCCCTGAATCCAGTGAGAATGTCATCGTGAGAGCCACAGAGGGACACAGAGGCATCGTGGAGACAGAGGCAGGGATTGCAGTGATGCAGCCACAGGCCGAGGAACACCCGGGATCGCCTGGCAGCCAGCAGAGGCTGGGACAGGCCTGGGGCGGTTTCTGCCCCAGAGGGAACCAACCCTGCCCACGTTTTGGTTTTGGACTCTGGCCTCTGGAACAGGGATAGTTGTTCTGTTGTTTTAAGCTGCTCAGTTTGTGGTCATTTGCTACAGCAGCCCAGGGAACCAAATACACCTTGTCTGTAGGATTATTTGTGTACCCCTGCGCCCGTACAGCAGCCCCACGACAGCCGGCCACACCCGCGTTCACCGCCAAATCCAAGTGCAGGCGTAGCGTCCGGCACGCAGCAGGCAAGTGCGAGGGACTGTGTGATGGAATGAATGAATGAATGAATGAACTGAACCGAACCCTCTCTCTGCATCTTCCTACATCTCTGGAGTTGAGTCAACATATTCAGTTTTTGGGTGACATGAATGACCACACAGAGTAGAGTAAAAGTTTTGAGGCAAAACTATAGTGTTTTGCATTTCGTTACTATCATCGCGGTAATTCCCATTTTCATCTATTGAAACCCGGAACAATTTAGAATCCCTTTCATTTAGAGTCACCATCCACCCCGTGTTATTCTGGCTAATGTATAATTTGTTCCCGACCCCCACTAGCTAAGTAGCCTGGAGAGTTTCTGCATCCCCTGTGCTTGGAAAGGTCAGACCTCGGGCCACTCAGATCTTCGCTGCGACTCCGCCCTTTGCTCAGCCTGAATTCTGGTGTTCTGTCCCCAGACTGCCTGTCAGCAACTCTGACTGCCAGCCTGCCCTCGGCGGCGAGGACATCAGGGGACATTCTGGCACCAGTGAACATGGAGACTGAACTGAGAGTGGGTGGGGAGGGGGGTGGTCATGACCTTGGTCTTGGCCTGGATTTCTTACTGCTGAAACCACATTTTGGTGACTTTGTCTTAATTTTCTCTGCTCTTCCTTTTTCTTTTCTTTTGGGGAAAATGCTTTCTTCTGCATGTGAACACCAGATGGCAGCAGAGAGGGCAAAGGTCCCTCTTACCTGGGCTTAACTTGCTGCAGGCGGAGACACAGGTGCACACGTGTCTCCACCACCAGAGACCTTTCTTGTCTGAGACGGGGCCACGCGTGTCTTCGTCCACTTGGGCTGCCTCAACAAAATACCACGGACCGGGGGCTTGTCAACAACAGAAATCTGTTTTTCACCGTTCTGAAGGCTAAAAGTCCAAGATTAAGGGTCAGGCAGATTTGGTGTCAGTGAGCGCCTATTTCCTGGTTCGTAGGCCAGATTTCTAGCCCTTCCTGAAAGTCTTTGTTTCTGACGACCCTCTGAGTCAGGGAAGATGCTGGTGTTGCCGTCCGGTGGGCGAGCGGAACTGGACAGGGACGCGCCCTGGTCTCCTCTCCCTGGGAGGCATGTCCGTGTTAGCTAGGGACGCCTGGCTGGGGCTGGGGGCGCGGGGTGGGACATCCTCTCTGCCCACGGCCCATGTCTCAGCGAGGCCCTTGGTCCCCACTCCTGAGAGTTACATTCTTGTCGGTTCGTCCCGCGCCGCAGGCCAAGCAGCGCTCTTCCAAGGCTCCGGCGCGAAGAGCACTGACCCCCCGCTCCGAGGACAGCTCTCCACGCCCACGGGGTCTCCGCATCTCACCACCGTCCACCGGCCGCTGCCCCCCAGCCGCGTCATCGAGGAGCTGCACAGGGCGCTGGCCACGAAGCACCGGCAGGACAGGTGAGGCCCTGCTGCGAGGGGGACCCTGGTGCCACCAGTCCCCCAGGGCTAACCTCGGGCGCGACACCGTGCAGCCACCCAGGGTGTGGCCGGCTTTCACACTCTGCCTTGAAATTCTCAATGGCTTTTGAGCGAGGAAGCCCACGTTTCATTTTGCACCGGGCTCTGCGGGTTACGTGGCTGGCCTTGGTGCCCACATTCCGGGGGAGCCCGGCCCCACAGCCCCTGCGTGCGCCCCTCGGGATCGGGTGGGGCGGGAGCTTCCAGGAGAGGGCGGGAGAGAAGCAGCTGTTCTGCCGTCCTGGGACTCGGGCTCCGCGTCTTGCACCGGGCGAGAGTGCCAGGCGGCCGTGCCCGCAGCGGCCCTTTCGTTCTGGGTCACCTGCGGCTCAGTTCTGTGATGGAACAGTGGACTGTTGGAGGCAAAGTGGGTCACAGAAGGTGCGTGTGGACTGGCGGAATGTCAGACCCAGTGCCGTGTGGGTCCCGCGGACGCCGTGGTCTGAGCAGGGGTGGCTCTGGCACCGCCTTGGGCAGGGTTATCGCGTGTTGTGCTTTCAGCTCCTTCTAACAGCTACGTGCCAGCGCCCCTTCCGGCACCGCCGGGACAGAGCCGAGAAGCCTCGTGTCCTCTGGCACCTTCGCGATAGCGGTCACGAGCCCTGAGGTCAGCATTGCAGGGTTTCTGGATGAGGGGTAGCGTCTAACCTGGACCGTCTTTCCATCCAGTTTCCAAGGCCGGGAAAGCAAAGCGTCTCCGAAGAAGCGGGTGGATGTCCGTCTGTCCCGAACGTCCAGCATGGAGCGGGGCCGGGAGCGGGAGGAGGCCTGGAGCGCCGACGGGCCCCCGGAGAGCAAGCGGACGGCGGCCAAGGAGTCCGAGGAGAACAAGGAGAACCTGATCGTGAACTCCGAGCTCAAGGACGACTTGCTCTTGTACCAGGACGAGGAGGCGCTGAACGACTCCATAATCTCTGGTGAGAAGGGGCGGATCTGGGATCTGTACCTGTGGGCCCCCCGCGGAGGGCTGGCGTCCCCAGGGGCTCACGTCTGAGCTGGCGCTTCTGCTGCCAGCACGGGGAGGGACGGGCAAGGACTGCGCTGCAGAGAACAGGCGAGGAGACTCGTCCCCTGAAAAGCGCTCTGGGGGCGCACGCGGCCCGGCTCGCCGTGTGGCCGGAGGAGGGGCCCGAGTGAACTGGTTTCATGTTGGGAATTGTGTGTGAGTTTTCATGTGTATTTGAAAAAACACAGAAGTGGTACAGCAAGTGTCTGGGAATGTCACCCCTGAGGAGCATGTGTCGAAGTGTATAGGTGGTACGCAGATGCCTGGCGTTTGGAAGGTGTGGCAGAAAATTCTCATTTAAAAAAAGCGAGATGAGACGGGACAGGGGAGGGGAGAGTGCCTGATCCATCGGTCCCAAAGGGCCGTCCCGGACGGTGTGAAGGAGACACGGCGCGAGCGCGTTTGGGACCAGGCGTCCACAGGCCCTTGGAGTCCAGCTCCACATTTGTCCTCAGGAGTGTCATCCGGGTCAGAGTGACGGCTCCGTCCTGCCCTCGGGTCTCGGGGAGAGGGAGGGCTGCAGACCTCCTCCTGGGCTCAAGTGATCCTCCCACCTCAGCCTCCTAAGCAGCTGGGACTACAGCCATGCACCATCACGCCCTGATAATTTTTCTATTTTTTGTAGAGACGGGGTCTTGCTACATTGCTTGGGCTGGTCTCGAACTCCTGGCCTCAAGTGATCTTCCTGCCTCGGCCTCCCAAAGTGCAGGGACTATGGGCTTGAGCCACCGCGCCTGGCCCCATGAGAGTATTTTGCTTTTGTTATTTGCTTCTCTCTGCGGCGTGTTCGGAGTTCAAATCCTGCTCCCAGTCTCTCGCCTGATGTGCTGTTTTTAGACCTCTGTGGTGTGGAAGCAGAAAAGCACTAGGCACTAGATGAATCAATTATTAATCACGACTGCAGTTTTGTTCATTTATCTATTCTCTCTCTCTCTCTCTCTCTCTCTCTCTCACTCAGCATTCCAAGGAAATTTTTGTTATCAAACATTTTTGTCAGCCTGAATTCTTTATTGGTCAACACCATCCCTCACCTATATTAGAAGTTGATTTCTGGAGGCGCAGAGGCCCCTCCGAGGCAGGCCTGCTCCATGGACCAGCAGGAAGGGCGAGCGTCTGCTGGGTCGAGTTGTAGCAAATGTGTCTGCTCTAGTCCGAGTCTGATGACTGGATTCCATGCGGGGTCTCCCTGGTGTCTTGCTCCACAAAGGTGCGTTGCGGACTGCGTGTTTATCCATCTTGCTCGATGCCAGAGCTTGTGGTGTGCGCCCCTCTGCAAACACACTTGCATACACATGCGTGCCCCGACACAGGCCTGCCCGCACACAGGCTCACACGGGTGCCTTCACGGCGTGTGTGGTCAGCGCTGGATGGGGCAGGGCTTTGGGAGCATTCTGCAACCAGCAAAGTGAATTTCACCAAGAATGGTTTTTATGTTGTGGCTGCCTCAAGATTTCAGTGTTAGAAGCCGTCAAGGAAAAGATGTTTGCGTGTTATCTCTTCTCCTATCCTGAATCCGAGAGTGGAGACCACACCTGTCCTGTTTGTGACGCTGTCCTGTCTGGGCTCCTGGCCTGGCGGAGACATATGAGGGAGGGGGCAGAGGGGAGGGGCTTCCCCAAGGGAGAAGGAGTTACTTTCACCGGAAGCAGGCTTTTCCGGAGCCTTCCCGGCTCCCCGTGCAGCTTGCCTTGTGCGCAGTTTCTGCCCAGGTGCTCACGACAGCAAGACTGTGGGGCCAGGACACACAGACGTGTCTCAGCCGTGCGTCGTGTCCTGAGGGACCAGGCCCCCCAGCTTCACAAGTGCTGGTGTGTCCCACCCTTCGGGCTGCCATAGCAAAATGCCATAGACTGGCTGCCTTATGAGAACAGAAACTTATCCCTTCCAGTTCTAGAGACAGGGAGATCCTGTGTCAGACAGCAGAGGCGGAGCTGCGAGGACCCGCCCCTGGTTCATAGACGGCGCCTTCTTCCGGCCGCCCACGTGGCAGGAGGGGAGATGGAGCTCTCTGGGGCCCTTTGACGCGGCCCTAATCCCGTTCATGAGGACTCCACCGTCACGACCTCAGCAGCTCCCAAGGCCCCACCTCCAAACACATCACACTGGGGGTCGGGCTTCAACATGGGAATTCTGGGGGACACACACATCCAGTCCGTGGCATTGGTGTTCCCAGGTGAGGGCTGTCTGTGCACCCGCTTGGGCCTCCCTCTCTGGGCTTACGGCGTAGAGATTTTCTGTAGGGTCCGGCCACCCTACTTGCCCTGACACATTCCTTTCTAGCTCTGTGACCTTGGACATGTTTCTTAACCTCTCTGTGCCTCAGTTATACCATTTGTAAAATGGGTCTGACACTAAGGCTGTTTATTGTAGTCCCGTCTGTGCTCAGCATTTGCTCTCATTGTCGTGGCGATGGTACCCCCACCTCTTCGGCTCCCTTGTCGGGAGCAGGCAGGGACAGGAAGGGCCAGGCAGCTGGCACAGGTCAGCAGAGAGACACCTCCCAGGGTCCAGGTGGGCCGTGGCTCCAGTTCTGTGGACGGTCCACAGCTGATTTGTGGTGTTCCTCGTTCCCTCCGCCAGTTTGTCAATTAGCAAGTGCCGATGCCCCTGCAGCCCCACGGGCACGTCTGTTCTCCGTCTGGACGTGCAATCGATACGTTTATGTGACTGGCCGCGGTTTTGCTTTGCGCACTTAGCAAGGAACAGGGGGAAGGAGAACTAATCGCCTGGTGCCCTGCGTGCCGGGACAGGCTGAGGGAGTCCTTCACGTTGCTCAGGGAAGAAAAGCCTCAAGAAGGCCTCTGGGGCACCTGCCGTGGGCCACCTATCTCAGACCAGGTGTGTTGTGCTGCTGGGCGACCAGGGCGGTGCACGCTCATACACATGAGCGCAGCGACAAACTGACAGCTGTCCAGGTGTTCAGTGCGTGTGCTCTGTTCAGCAGCTTTGCTTCCCGGAATGTGCCAGGTACCCTAGCACTCGAGCATGATGGTTTATATGCACTAGGGTGGCTCAGTCTTGCTACAGTTAACGTTTGGGGCCAGGTAACTAACTGCTGTAGGCGCTGTCCTGTGTCTTGTAGAATGTTTAGCAACATCCCTGGCGCCCACCCACTAGATGCCGCTGGCACCCCCCACCGAGTCTTACAACCCAGATGTCTTCAGACGTTGCGCGGTGTCCCTGGGGAGAGACTGTGTGTGGCTGGGAAGCAGAGTCCAGGGATGTTCACTGGTGGTACTTGTGGTAGGAAAACTGGAAACGTTCTGAGCAGCCATCAGCAAAGGGCCAGTGGAGTCGGCCGTGGTCTGCGTCTGCAGCGGAGCCTCGTGCGGACGTTGCGCTGAGCGTGCGAGCTCTTGGGCATGAAACGCATCCAAGATACGTTGCAAGGCGCTGAAAAGAACTTGAGAATGATCCCACTTTTGTGATCTTTTTAAAATAAATCCTCAGAGAAACACACCTGCCCAACCGTACTCTGTGTGAGGAAGAAGAACGGACGCCCAAGAGAAGGTCGAAATTCTCTCACCCGGTGTGATCAGGACCAACGGATTAGATTGTTGTTAATCAAAACAGCTGATTAAAGCTCGAAACGTGAAAGCGATATGTACACGGATCAAACGTTTTGTTTCAACTTAAAATATGAACGCAAAAAGGGAAAAACCCACGAATGCACGTTAGTTGTCCCTTTGGGCAAGGGTTGGGGCCGCCTCTGGGATTCTCTAACAGGAGTCCCAGGTCCTGGAGTAAACCGCACCCGGTGTGCACCCTCTGATGTCCGAGTGACTTGTAAGGATGACGTTTACTTCGCACTTTTTACACAGTAAGGGAGTCCAGATGCTGCCGGCCTAAGCAGGTCTGGGAAGAGACAACCAACTGTTGGTGAGCGCGCGGGGCACCGGGGAGAGGAGGCGCCGAGTGTGCGGACGGAGCCCTCAAGGGGTGGGGAGCGAAGGCCAGCGCAGCCCCCGGCCGACAGCATCGGCCGCAGCTGTGCCGGCTGCCGGGTGGGGCGCGTGCGTGGGGAGAGAGTTCTGCGTGTGTACCTGCGACGTTGCACCCACACACACGGATGCCACGTCTGTCTAGCCTGCTCCGCGTCAGACATTTGTGTCAGTGCATGTCTGGGACAAAATCCTGGAAATAACACAGATTTAAATACCTTCTATGCGCTGATCCTTCATCGGAGACCACGTCAGCAATGCTGTCCTGATTCCCCTCCCCTCGCAGTAGGAACCCCCCATTCTCCGCAGGACCTGTCCGTGTCCCTTGATGGGAAGGGGAGGAGAGGATGTCTGGGGAGATCCACCCAGCCCTTTACAATAGAAGGGATTGTGGGCAATCTGCGATGTTCAGAAAATGTGCTATTAATACGTCTCTGTGCTGTTTGAGGGTTTACAGTGAGCACGTCTTGGTTCATCACTAGAGAGACATGGGGACAGGCATTTTTGACAAGATTGCATTCCTGCGCTGGGGGAGTTCTCGGGCTTACAGGCAGGATCGGGTGGGAAGGACACCACTGGACACGGCCTGCAGGCAGTCAGGGGTAGGGCAGGACAGGCCCAGTGGGGTTTAAAGGGATGAGTAAGAGTTTGCCGGGTGGGTGAAGTCACAGAGACATGGCAGGGTTGGCACTTACAGGGAGGGAAAGCTGCGTGGAGTGCCCGGGGCCGGCGTGTGTGTGCAGGCAGGGACCTAACACTGAGCGGTTCTGGCGGCACAGCCAAAGGGGCGACATGAGGTTCTGACTGTCTAGTACTTTTCAGATCCCACGTGACCTGAGAAGGCTGAGGATGCTAACTCTATCACCTGCCTTTATTGCCACTGGCCAGAAAAGGATGACACCTCTGGGCAAATCGTATCTGCTTTGGGGACCACTATAAGTGAGCGGCAAATAGCTGGAAGGCTGTCGGCCCAGCCCAGGGAACTGCTCCAGGAGGCAGTGATCTCTGTGTCTCCCACACCTGCCTGACCCTGCCGCCTGCGCTGTGTTACCTGGCGGGGGCAGCTCTGTGACCCGCTGCAAGGACTTGCCCAGGGCTGCCCTGCAGCAATGGAGTCTGCACACGTCCTGAGTCAGATGCCAACCACGATGGTCCTGAGAGTTGGAATGTTTGCGTGAACCTAAAAATAAACCCCACGGTGTGTTCTACGCTGGGGCTGCTCAGGAGCTGGGCTTCACCTAGAGGACTCCAGGGAGGGTGTGTGACCACACGGGTTTTAAAAACAATCTAAAGAGAAGTTCACAAAGTTTTCTGATGGTGCATCTCAGTAGCAAAAAAAAAAAAAAAAAAACCAGTATTTGTGCATCATTTACTTACAAACTATACCCATGAGAGGTGCCACGTTAATGCATCGCATACACTATGGAATAGACGTGTAAAACAGTAAGGAAGAAAGCGCAACGTGGAGTAGCGACTGCGCGTATTAGTATTTTCCGCCACAGCCTGACCTCCTGAGGAAGGCCCAGAAATGTGCATCCCGGCGGCACAGCGGGCGCTAGCGCAGGCTGTAAAAGCTAGACTGAGGGGATTTAAGGTAGAGGAGGAATTTTAGTGCTTTATAGATTTTTTTAAAGCTTTTTACAAAATGCCTTTGCTATTTATTCGACAAGTACTGTATGTCCCAGATCCAGGCCTCAAGGATTCTAAGAAAAACCTAGACGCAGCCTCCACCCTCGGGGAGCTCATGACTAACTTCGAAAGTCGACTTTTGCCATAAAGTTGACGAGACAAAAGAGGGCCCTGTCTGGAACCCAATGCCAGGGACGGGGTGACTCAGGGTTTGGTGACGCAGTAAACGTGGCGTGGAGGGAGGCGGTGCTGGGCCGTCCCGGGTGTTGCCCACGTTGAAAGAAGGGGGGGCCCTCTCTCGGGCTCCAGGGTCCTTTTCCCAGAGGACACCCACTTGTGAAAAGCGAAAGCTAAACAGCGTCGTGTTGTTTGAATCCCGTGGAGACAGTGGCTTGCAGTATGTGCTTCAGCGATGGGAGGAGCGGCCTGTGGAGAGGGGAGGACTCACCCGTAGTTGTCACCGTGTGAATTCACGGAATGCCAGGCGGTCTCAGCCTTTTCTTGGAAGTTGGGGCTCTGGGATTTGCAATGATCCGGACTCCCAGCCATTCCCCCCATGGACAGCAGGTGGCGCTGTGGACGCTCACTGGGACGCAGGATGCGCTGGAGGACTGGTCTGCCGGGCTGGCGTGCCAGGCTCAGGCGTTCCTGCCGGGCGGCACGTCAGGCTGGGACTCAGCCGGCCCCGTGGTGACCATGGCCAGACTGGGCTGCTCTTTTTGTTAAAGCTATGACTTCACATCGGGTACTTAGCAAGCACCTTTCACGCCTTCTCTTACCTAGTCCCTACGACAACCTGGCGGGGGGCAGATGCGGTCACTGCACCCCCTACCTGTTTTTTAACAGTTGAGGAAACCAAGGCAAAGAGGAGGGGAGGAATTTGCCCTTTGCAATCCAGGCCTATCTAGCTTTGCAGCCCATGCGTGTCACCCACCATTCACCCGACACTCCTGAGCACCACGTCGGTGCCGGGCTGGCAAAGTCGTGTGGTGGTTACAGGACAGCGTGAGGCCGGGGAGCGGCCGGGGAGAGACATCCTCAGGAAGACAGCTGAGTCCAAAAGGCACCAAGACGCAAAGCCTCGAGGTGGCAGTGCAAGTCCCTCACTGCTGGCTGTGTGGCCTTGAGTGAGGAGTTGGTGTCTCTGTGTGACCGTCGTCATCTGCAAAATAGGAAAGACGAACACAAGCACCTGCCTGGAAGGGCTTAACCCTGTGCCTGGCGCACGGCAGGGGCTCGTTACGTGTGGGCTGCTCTTGCTGTCGCTGGCGGGCAGCAGCACAGGAGCTACTGTGGCCAAAGGGACCTAGAAAGGTCTGGAAAGTGCAGGTGTGATGAGAGAGGGGCATGAGGGGGCCCTGGCCCGGCCCAGGGAGAGGGGACGGGGCCTGCAGGGGTGTCCTAGCACCACGGAGCGGGCGCCTGAAGCAACAGTCGTTTATGTGCTTGCAGTCCTGGAGGCCGGGAGGCCGGGAGGCCAAGATCAAGGTGTTGGCAAGTCGGTTTCTGGTGAGGCCTCTCGGCCTGGCTCAGACATGCCGTCGTCTTCTGTCCTCGTGTGGCCGAATCTCTGTGTGTGCGGGGTGTGGGGAGGGCATCTCTATAAGGACCCCGTCCTGTCAGAGCAGGGCCACCCTCATGGCCTCCTTTAACTCCGTCACCTCCCCACAGGCCCTGCGTCCAAGTGCAGTCACACTGGGGTCAGGGCGTCAACTGTGCATTCTGGGGCGGGGGACTGGGCAGGGTCTGGGGCGTGGGGGCGTGGGCCCCGGCTGGAAGAGAAACGCAGAGGAGGGAAGGGCCGGGGCCTCATGCCGTGCTCTGAGCTCACCAAGGCCCTGCCCAGCTCAGGGTCAACCAGGGACCACCTAGCCATTCAAGAGTATTTATTGAGCACCGCCTGTGTGCCTGGAGGGCCGAGCTGCTCACGTCTGCAGAGGGACACTAGTCAGCGGCTGAGTGTCCGTCAGGCGAACGGGCACCTGATGTGTTGTGCCGGCGTCGTGCACGAAGGCTGGTCCGCGAGGCCACTTCGATTTGTTTTCCAACATCCTGTCCATCCCTGCTCCCGATGAACCCGGTAGCACCTGGCTCTTCTGTTCACTTGGGGGTAATGAAACATGACGTAGTCTCCGAGTCATCCACGCTGTTTGGACGCAGAAATCAGAATATCCTTCCCCCATGACCGTCACACTTCCAGGTCCAGTCAGAGTTTTGCCAGCTCCCCCAGCCGAGACCCTCTGCAGCCAGGGAGGGGTGCTCTCCCCTGCCCTGCTCACTCCCCGGCGTGGGGGTGCCCCCCGAGGAGTGGAGGCTGCTGGGCTCTGACTGGCCACTCGGCGCTTACTCACTTGGGTCTCTGCGTGTGTGGTCCTAACCCTGACCCTGGAGCCCCAGTCCCCCTCAGAAAAGGACGTGGTGATCTTCTCTTTGAGAGTCGCCTTGAGAACCTGATGACTCAGTTAGGGGAGGTCACCCCAAGGCACTTCTGGGGAGGGGCAAGGGCTGCTCCTGGCTTCCTCCTCCTGCTGTTCTCAGGACGAGCAGGTCATTGGAAGCCGCCCAAGGGGCAGAAGCCTTGCAGGACCCGGTGGAGCCACTGTCAGGATTCAACAGGATGAGGCGGCCAGTGTGGTCGGCGTGGTACTTAGCACTGCCGAGCAGTTGACAGTGTCTGCGGAGGTCCCTCTATGCAGCCAACAGGTGTTCATGGAGGTCCCTCTCTGCAGCTGACAGGTGTCTCTCTCTGTGCTGCACATAGACACCCTCAGCAATGGCACCCTCACTGTGATCACCTTCTATATTTTATAGTCGGTATGCGGGACATTGGTAATCTGACGTACGTGTGTTTTTCAGAATTCACGGTTATGATGGCAGTGGTGCCAGAGCAGGAGAAACCACATAGAGTGAAAGTGACAGAAGGCAGGTAGGTCCCCTACTGTCACTCGCACCCTATTCTACAGGCAAAACCAAGCCCCACGGTGACCCTGATTCAAGGGGTAAGAAAACCTTTTCGTAGGAAGAAAGGACACTAGAGGCCACGTGCAGTTGATCTGCCACAGAGTTGACGTTAAGTAACTTCACCGTGAGCACGTCAGTTACACGGGTGGGCACACGCCTTTCTCGAGGCTGCGTGGACGTGGCCACCTCCAGTTCTTTGGTGTCAAGAAGCGACTTGCTTTCTCCCTGTCACAGATTCCTAGTCCCTGTGGGTCAGGTGCGGTGGCCTATTTCTGTATCTTTCTCAGCATGGCGTCTGGCACTTAGTCTTCTTCGATGACAGAGCTGATGAAGCTCAGAAGAAACTCGGAGGTGACATGACCGGGACTGGGCTCCATCACCCCATTTCACAGACCATGAAACCGAGGCCCAGGAGGCTGATTTGGGCTCTGTGGCCGGTACGTGGTGGATCTGGGCTAGAACTCAGGTCCCAGATGTACCCTGACATTTTTGCACGCCCTTCCTCCTGGTTTACAGCTACTGCACGAAGCCGGGCTCCCTCGCTCTTCTCTTTGTGACAGACAGCGGTGCTTTTTACAGAAACCAGACTCTGGGAACCCTGGAGGTGCGTAATTATAGAGTTCCACGGAGTTATCTGCTGCAATTGTAATGCTAGCTCACATTTGAAATACACACCAAAGGTGCTTTCTTCCCTGCAGAAACGTTGTCAGCCTGGAAGGCCTGGCTCGGCTCCCCTTTCTGGTTGAGAGTGACAGACAGTGACGCTTCCTTCCCTCGGGACCCCTCAGGGGAATCTCCTCCCCTCCCGGCCCCCTCTGCCCAGGTGCCCCCAAACCTGCCCCCTCCTTGGCACCCACGGCGCAGCATCTGGCCTCCTCCCTGCCGTCCTGTCTCGGACGTGCCTGAGCATCTGGGCTCCTTCCCCGGCCGGCTTTGCGCTCTCTCGGCCCAGCCTCACATCCCGGCCCGCACGTGGTGTCGCAGGTGTTCTCCCCTGGCTGCGGCACTCTCTGATGCTAAAGCTGTATGTGCCTATTCGTCTGCTTCTGTGTCTCTGCCGAGGCCTGACTGCCCCTGAGCTCAGCAGAGCCAAAGGCAGCCTTGTCCCCTCCCCAGGACACCGGCTGCACCTCCCAGGGCCCACTCACAGTTCACTCCTAACGGGGTCCCAACCTTCATGCCAGGCCGTCTCCTCCCCGCTCCCCCCACCCCCCGATCCAACATCGCACTCTCATTTCATTCAGAAAGTACGCGCCACGCACTCCGTGTCAGGCACGGCGGAGAAAGTCTGCCCTGGAGCCCCCGGAGTCTGGCGGCAGCGTTTATAACGGCCCCACTGTTGTTTGCAGAAGGGCCCAGGCCCTACTGCCTCTGGCCATGACAGAGTGATAGGAGCTGCCCTCCCACTAAAACCCTTATGAAACTGGACAACGTGCGAGACTGTTTGGAGGCATTGAACGGCAGTGTAGATTTGTTATCCTCGAAGGGAGGCCCGGGGTGAGCCCACAGGTGATTGCCCGGCGTTCCCCTGGACATCTTCCCACGGGTCACAGCAAGGTGCCCTCAAGGCAGAGAGGGAACCTCACCGAGATGAGGAGGAGGAGACTGGAGTCTGGGCTGCTGAAGCGGCTGCAGCTTGTGGGCCAAGGAGGAGCTGTGTGGAGGGGTCTGTGGACATCCAGTTGGCCAAGGGCTGAGATGCGCCTTTGCGGGCAGAACCCCACAGACCTAGCAGAGGTCACCTGTGGGCATGAGAGCTGAAGGGTGACACTAGGGGTCGGGAGTGCTGGGAGAGGTTGGGGGCTCAGCCCAGGGGAAGTGAAGAGACCTCAATGTATGCAACAGACTGTTTGTTGAAACGCCACAAGGACCACACCTTAGGAGCAAGGGGGATGCCCTAAGGCCATACTCAAAACCACATGGACCTGCAATTATTACAAATATATCAGGGGTCTTAAAGGACAAAATGATCATAATGAATGACCAGATGGAGGATCCTAGCAGAGAAACGGAAACTGTAAAAGAAAGCCAAATGGAAATTCTAGAATTAAAAAGCATAATACCTAAAATGGAAAATTCACCACAGATTGGAGATGGTCTCACAGCAGCAGCAAGACACACTCCAGGACTGTTCTCACGTGTGGAGCCGGGGCAAGCGGGGTTATCTCTGCCACTTCCCCTCTGTCCTGGGACCTATTCCTCCTCCTCCATTCAAATGCCAAAGCCTTGTGTACATCAGCTACATGGCCTGGGCCTTCCAGGTTCCGGAATTGCCAGTCTGGACTTGCAGTTTGGCTGAGAAATGACTACATTAGCAATATGGGTATACGCATCCTTGTAGCTAAGACTTTGTGCATCTCTGTAATTATGGCCTTAGGATGAACTTCAACATCAACGTGCAGACTAATTGAGGAAAAGATATCTCATGGTGAGTGTGTTTTAACCCCGAGCTGCTTAGCCTTATGTTCTCATTTATACACGACCCCTTTTACCTTTCCTCTTTCTTCCCAAGAAAGCACCTGAGACTGGTTCCGAAGCAGCAGCCTGTGATACTGGGCAGAATAGCAAAAGGAATTCCTGGAAAAACCTGCAATAATCAGAAACTTTGACTTAGGAATTCTTCCCTTTCTAGGAATTGGCATGGGGCTGGCACCCCAGGGCGAGGGCCATGCCAACTTCATCTGCACTGCCCTCCGGGGCAGCCAGATGAGAATGTTCATGTGCGTGCAGGGAAACACAGGAATGAGAACATTTCCTGCAGCTTTGGTTAAAAGTGCAAAAACGAGCACTGACCTAGATGTCCATTCATGGTGGCCTAGCTCAACAGATGACAGGATTATGTGGCACCCACACGGTGGGGTTATTTACGGCTCCTCAGGGGAAAGAGCTAGATTAACACTCCCTGCTTTGGAACCGTGGCCGGCTGTGGAGCGGAGACGGCGCATCGTGGAGTACCATGTACAGTACGGTTCCACTTTGGTAACACAGTGAAGTGGGAGTCTGTAAATTGCTAATTGTATAGAAATAGGTCTGGAAGGAGATGCTGCAAAGTGTCAGCAGTAGCTTTTTTTGGAGGCGAGATGTGGGCAAGGAAAGGGAGACTCCTTTTCCTCTTAATACTGCTGTGAGGCGTGAGCTGTTTGCAGTGAGCGTGCATCGTATCTGCAGCTGAGCCAGAGAACATCCTCTGAGCTGGGCTGGAAGGCAGCCGGCTCACTCTCTCAGCTGCGACCTGGGGATGCTCGTAGCTCAATGAACTTTATTTTCCTTTTCATTAATTTACCAAGGAGGTGGAGGTGAGGGGAGAGCCCAGTAGGCTCCTTTGGTTTGAATGTGTGTCACCTCCAAAACTCTTGTTGAAATTGAATCCCCATTGTAACAGTATTAAGAGGTGGGGCCTTTAACAGGTGATTAGACCTGCCTTTATATGTGGGATCAATGCTAGTATAAAAGGACCGCGTGCCCCCCACCCTCTCTTTGCCCTCCTGCCATGCGATGCCTTCTGTCTTATTATGGCACAGTAAGAAGGCCCTCGCCAGATGCCAGCATCTCACCCTTGGCCTCTCTGGCCTCCAGCACTGTGGGCCAATATGTTATTGTTCGTTGTAAATCACCCCATCCCAGGTATTCTGATATAGAGCGCAAAATGGACTAAGACAAGCTCTAGTTCTGACGGTCAGAGTAAGCACCTGGGAGGTCGAAGGGTGGCTCTGTCTGCACCTCCCTTGGGGAGCTAATTGCGTAACAGCCGTGTCCTGGGGAGCCCTGACCTCACAGAGCATCGCCCGGAGGCAGGAGACTAAAAGGCTACACTGGAGAAGCAGAAGCACTTTCTATAGTGACTTTGTTGTTTATTTTTGTGAACAGGTAATATAGTCACGTGACATAAATTGAACAGGAACTAAAGACTGTGCTATGGAAGGTCTCTCCCAGTGTCACCGGTTTCTCACGCGTCCTGTGTGTTTCATGTGTACACGGGCACAGGTGCACATGTTAAGGTTTCCCACCTGGGAGACCGGGTACCAGGGAGAAGCCCAGTGCGAGATCCGCCACCACCTCCTCCTCTTTGTACCTGCCCTGCTTCCCGCCCACCCAGACTGGAACGGAGGAGCTTTATTCTGGTGACTGGCGTTAGAACCAAGGTCCTGCGCTTTCCTTGGACGGGAGACATTTTATTACTGATTCGATTTCCTCACTCGGTATTGGTCTGTTCGGATTTTTATTTCTTCATAATTCAACCTTGGTAGGTTGGGTGTGTCCAGTATTTATCCATTCCTTCTCGGTTATCCGATTAGTCAGCGTGTGGCAATTCACAATAGTCTCTTACGACCTCTGCGTTTCTGCAGTGTTAGCCGCAAGGTCTCTTTACATCTGTGATTTCATTTATTCGAGTCTTCTCTCTTTCTGGTCTAGCCTAGCTAAAGATTTGCCAATTTTGTTTATCTTCAAAAAAGCCAACTCTTTGTTTCACTGATCTTTTGTATTGTTTTTCTAGTCTCTATTTCATTTGTTTCTACTCTATTATTTTCTTCTTCTAATTTTGGGCTGAGTTTGTGCTTGTTTTTCTAGTTCCTTGAAGTGTCATATAGGGTTTTTGAGATCATCTTTTTTGATGTAGGCATTTATTGCTATAAACTTCTTTCTTACAACTGCTTTGATTGTATCCCATAGGTTTTAATATGTCATGTTTCCATTTTCCCAACCTGTCTCAAAAATTTTTTAAATTTCCTTTTATTTCTTTGTTGACCCATTGTTTACTCAGGAGCAGGTTTAATTTACGTGTGTTTGTAACGTTTCTGAAGTTCTTTCTGTTATTGATATCTATTAATAGTTTTATACCATTGTCCTCAGAAAAGATACTTGATATAATTTAAGTCTTCTCAAATTTGTTAAGACTTGTTTTGTGGCCTAACATATTATCTGTCCTAGAGAATGTTCCATGTGCAGTTGAGAAAAATGTGTATT